GCTGCGCGTACGGCGCCGCCATCTTGGTGGCGGTGAGGCCGCCATGTTGGGAAGGGCGGCGCCATGTTGGGGGGCAGGAAGGGGGTCTGGGGGGGGCTATGGGGAACCATAGACCCATAGCGTGCCCCCCATAGACCCATAGCGTGCCCCATAGACCCATAGCGTGACCCCATAGACCCATAGCGTGCCCCATAGACCCATAGCGTGCCCCATAGACCCATAGCCTGCCCCATAGACCCATAGCGTGCCCCATAGACCCATAGTGTGCCCCATAGACCCATAGCCTGCCCCATAGACCCATAGTGTGCCCTATAGACCCTTAACCTGCCCCACAGACCCATAGCCTGCCCCATAGACCCATAACCAGCCCCATTGACCCATAGTGCCTGCCCCATAGGTCTTCCCTATAAACCCATAACCTGCCCCATAGATCCCCCCACATGACCCATAACCTGCCCCATAGCCTGCCCCATAGCCCCTCTACCTGCTCCATAAACCCATAAGCAGCCCCATAACCTGCCCTATAGACCCATTGCCTGCCCCATAACCTTCCCTATAGACCCATAGCCTGCCCCATAGATCCATAGCCTGCCCCATAGACCCATAACCTTCCCCATAGCCTGCCCCATAGCCCCTCTACCTGCTCCATAAACCCATAAGCAGCCCCATAACCTGCCCTATAGACCCATTGCCTGCCCCATAGATCCATAGCCTGCCCCATAGACCCATAATCTGCCCCATAGACCCATAACCAGCCCCATAACCTGCCCTATAAACCCATAGCCTGCCCCATAGATCCATAGCCTGCCCCATAGACCCATAACCTGCCCCATAGCCTGCCCCATAGCCCCTCTACCTGCTCCATAAACCCATAAGCAGCCCCATAACCTGCCCTATAGACCCATTGCCTGCCCCATAGCTTGCCCCATAGACCAACAGCCTGCCCCATAGATTATAGCCTGCCCCATAGACCCATAACCTGCCCCATAGCCTGCCCCATAGCCCCTCTACCTGCCCCATAAACTCACAACCAGCCCCATAACCTGCCCTATAGACCCATTGCCTGCCCCATAGCTTGCCCCATAGACCAACAGCCTGCCCCATAGATTATAGCCTGCCCCATAGATCCATAGCCTGCCTCATAGACCCATAACCTGCCCCATAGCCTGCCCCATAGCCTCTATACCTGCCCCATAGACCCATAGCCTGCCCCATAGACCCCATACTGACCCATGGTCTGCCCCATAGAACCACCACTGACCCATAGCCTGCCCCATAGACCCATAACCTGCCCCATAGCCTGCCCCATAGCCCCTATACCTGCGCCATAGCCTCTATACCTGCCCCATAGACCCATAGCCTGCCCCACATCCTGCCCCCCACCCCCCCCCTCACCCCCCCCCCCCCCCCGTTTCCTGCCCCACAGCGGCAGCCGCAGCTTCCGGGGGGCCCTGGGAAGGGTTTGGGGCTGGAGGCGCCTGCAGGAGCTGTGGGGTGATCAATGGGGGCTATGGGGCTGGGGGGGGCTATGGGGCTGGGGGGGGCTATGGGGCTGCTCTATGGGGCTGATCATGGGGTGATCTATGGGGGCCTATGGGGTTGGGGGGGGCTATGGGGCTGCTCTATTGGGCTGATCATGGGGTGATCAATGGGGGCTATGGGGCTGGGGGGGGCTATGGGGCTGCTCTATGGGGATGATCATGGGGTGATCAATGGGGGCTATGGGGCTGGGGGGGCTATGGGGCTGCTCCCCCCCGATGATCATGGGGTGATCAATGGGGGCTATGGGGCTGGGGGGGGCTATGGGGCTGCTCTATGGGGCTGCTCTATGGGGCTGATCATGGGGTGATCAATGGGGGCTATGGGGCTGGGGGGGCTATGGGGCTGCTCTATGGGGATGATCATGGGGTGATCAATGGGGGCTATGGGGCTGGGGGGGGCTATGGGGCTGCTCTATGGGGCTGATCATGGGGTGATCTATGGGTCTCTATGGGGCTGATCTATAGGGCTCTATGGGGATGATCTATGGGAATGATCTATGGGGGTGATCTATGGGGATGATCTATGGGGCTGATCTATGGGGCTCTATGGGACTGATCTATGGGGTGACCTATGGGGTGATCTATGGGGATGATCTATGGGGATGATCTATGGGGCTCTATGGGACTGATCTATGGGGTGACCTATGGGGATGATCTATGGGGTGATCTATGGGGATGATCTATGGGGCGATCTATGGGGATGATCTATGGGGATGATCTGTGGGGCGATCTATGGGGGTCTTCGGGGTTCTATGGGGCTGCTCTATGGGGATGATCTATGGGGTGATCTGTGGGGCTGATCTATGGGGCTATTTTATGGGGTGATCTATGGGGCTGATCTATGGGGATGATCTATGGGGCGTTCTATGGGGGTCTTTGGGGTTCTATGGGGCTGCTCTATGGGGATGATCTATGGGGTGATCTATGGGGCTGATCTATGGGGTGATCTATGGGGGTCTATGGGGTTCTATGGGGCTGATCTATGGGGCTCTATGGGGATGATCTATGGGGTGATCAATGGGGTATTCTATGGGGCTGTTCTATGGGGCTGATCTATGGGGCAGGGATGTGCTTATGGGGCCCATGGATGCTGGGGCCCTCCTACTTATGGGGCAGACACTGCACTTATGGGGCAGTGCCAGTTGCCAACCGCAGCGCGTCATGTGTGGGACGGGCGTGAAGCGGGCCCCACACATCCGGCCCCACGCCTGCCTCACATCCAACCCCCCCCAGGCCCCATGGAGGCTCCGTGGCCCCATAGCGGCCTCTGGGGCCTGATCCTGCTGCCCCCCACGCTGCTGCTGGCGGCCATTTGTGCCCGGTGCCGCCGGCCCCACGGTGAGGGGGCACTTATGGGGCTGGGGGGGGGGGAATCTATGGGGCTGGGGGCACTGGGGGCACTTATGGGGCTGGGGGGGCACTTATGGGGCTGGGGGATCACTTACGGGGCTGGGGGGGGCACTTATGGGGCTGGGGGGGGCACTTATGGGGCTGGGGGGGCACTTATGGGGCTGGGGGGGGAATCTATGGGGCTGGGGGCACTTATGGGGCTGGGGGGGAATCTATGGGGCTGGGGGCACTTATGGGGCTGGGGGTGGCACTTATGGGGCTGGGGGGGGCACTTATGGGGCTGGGGGGGCACTTATGGGTCTGAAGGGGGCACTTATGGGGCTGGGGGGGGGGGGAATCTATGGGGCTGGGGGCACTTATGGGGCTGGGGGGGGGAATCTATGGGGCTGGGGGCACTTATGGGGCTGGGGGGGGGAATCTATGGGGCTGGGGGCACTTATGGGGCTGGGGGGGGGAATCTATGGGGCTGGGGGCACTTATGGGGCTGGGGGGGCACTTATGGGGCTGGGGGGGCACTTATGGGGCTGGGGGGGGCACTTATGGGACTGAAGGGGCCACTTATGGGGCTGGGGGGGCACTTATGGGGCTGAAGGGGGCACTTATGGGGCTGAGGGGATGCACTTATGGGGCTGGGGGGGCACTTATGGGGCTGGGGGGGCACTTATGGGGCTGGGGGGGCACTTATGGGGCTGAAGGGGGGGCTGAGGGGATGCACTATGGGGCTGGGGGGGTCACTATGGGGCTGGGGGGCACTTATGGGGCTGGGGGGGACTTATGGGGCTGGGGGGGATCTATGGGGCTGGGGGGGATCTATGGGGCTGGGGGGATCTATGGGGCTGGGGGGGATCTATGGGGCTGGGGGGGATCTATGGGGCTGGGGGCTCAAGGGGATCTATGGGGCTGGGGGGGGCACTTATGGGGCTGTGGGGGCACTTGTGGGGTGGGGGGGACTTATGGGGCTAGGGGGGATCTATGGGGCAGGGGGGGTCACCCAAGGGTCACGCTCAGCCCCGCCCCTCCCCCCAGGTCACGGCGCCCCCCTGGACCCGGACAAGTGAGTGGGGGAGGGGCGGGGGGGCGGGGCCGCTGAGGGGGCGGGCTCTGACCCCTCCCCCTCCCCCCCCCCAGGCCCCGCCCCCCCGGCACCTTCGTGGTCCTCCCGCCCCAGAGATGTGAGTGACGTCATCGAGACCCATAGCCCTGCCCCATAGCCCTGCCCCACAGCGCTGCCCCATAGCGCTGCCCCATAGCCCTGCCCCACAGCCCTGCCCCATAGCCCTGCCCCACAGCGCTGCCCCATAGCCCTGCCCCACAGCCTGCTGCCCTGCCCCATAGCCCTGCCCCACAGCCCTGCCCCATAGCCCTGCCCCACAGCGCTGCCCCATAGCCCTGCCCCATAGCCCTGCCCCATTGCCCTGCCCCATAGCCCTGCCCCATAGCGCTGCCCCATAGCCCTGCCCCATAGCGCTGCCCCATAGCCCTGCCCCATTGCCCTGCCCCACAGCGCTGCCCCACAGCGCTGCCCCATAGCCCTGCCCCATAGCCCTGCCCCATAGCCCTGCCCCATAGCACTGCCCCATAGCCCTGCCCCATAGCAGTCCACCATAGCCCAGCCCCAATGCCCTGCCCCATAGCCCTACCCCATAGCGCTGTTCTGCCCCATAGCCCTGCCCCATAGCCCTGCCCCACAGCGCTGCCCCATAGCCCTGCCCCATAGCGCTGTTCTGCCCCATAGCAGTGCCCCATAGCGTGTCTCTGCCCCACATCTCCCCCCAGGTCCCCCACCACAGCCGCTTCAATGGGGGCACCTGACTGAGACCATCCCGTGGGTGACATGTGGGGCAACGGGGGTCTATGGGGCAGGGGGGAATCTATGGGGCTCTATGGGGTCTCCTTGGGGTCTCCATGTGGTCTCTATGGGTCTCTATGGGTCTCTATGAAATCTCTATCGGTCTCTATGGGTCTCTATGGGTCCCTATGGGGTCTCTATGGGGTCTCTTTAGGTTTCTATGGGTCTCTATGGGGTCTCTATGGGTCTCTATGGGTCCCTATGGGTTCCCTATGGGGTTATTATGGGTTGTTATGGTTATTATGGGGTCTCTATGGGTCCCTATGGGTTCCCTATGGGTCTCTACGGGTCCCTGTGGGGTCTCTATGGGGTCTCTATGGGTCTCTATGGGTCTCTATGGGTCCCTGTGGGGTCTCTATGGGGTCTCTATGGGTCTCTATGGGGTCTCTATGGGTCCCTATGGGGTCTCTATGGGTCTCTATGGGTCCCTATGGGTCTCTATGGGTCTCTACGGGTCCCTGTGGGGTCTCTATGGGGTCTCTATGGGTCTCTATGGGTCTCTATGGGTCTCTATGGGTCCCCATGGGGTCTCTATGGGTCTCTATGGGTCCCTATGGGTCTCTATGGGTCTCTATGGGTCCCTATGGGTCTCTATGGGTCTCTATGGGTCCCTATGGGGTCTCTATGGGTCTCTATGGGTCTCTATGGGTCTCTATGGGTCCCTATGGGGTCTCTATGGGTCTCTATGGGTCTCTATGGGTCCCTATGGGGCGCTATGGGGCAGGGTTGGGTCCATGTGGCCCCGCCCCCCCCCGCAGCTCCCCCCTCCCCCCCCCGGCCCGGGCCCCTCCCCCCGCCGAGGAGCGCGATGACGATTACACCAACGACACCTACGTCACCGGCTACGTGTGAGTCACGTGTCCCCATCCCCGCCCCCCCCCATCACGTGACCGCGGCTGACCCCTCCCCCTCCCGCAGTGACGTCATCCCGGACGAGGAGAGCGACCGCGCGGGTGGGCGGCGACCACGTGATCCGACCCCCCCACGTGACCCCCATTGATCCCCAATAACCCCTCCCCTTTGAGCTCATTGGGCCCCATTGACCCCACGTGACCTTTTCCCGCCAACAGCGCCCCCTGGTGGCGACTACGAGAATGTCCCGGATGGAGCCCAGAGCCCCTTTGGTGAGACCCATAGAGACCCCATAGAGACCCATAGAGACCCATAGAGACCCATAGAGACCCATAGGGACCCATAGAGACCCATAGGGACCCATAGGGACCCATAGGGACCCATAGAGACCCCATAGAGACCCATAGAGACCCATAGGGACCCATAGAGACCCATAGGGAGACCCATAGAGACCCATAGAGACCCCATAGAGACCCATAGAGACCCATAGGGACCCATAGAGACCCATAGGGACCCATAGGGACCCATAGGGACCCATAGAGACCCCATAGAGACCCATAGAGACCCATAGAGACCCATAGAGACCCATAGGGACCCATAGAGACCCCATAGAGACCCATAGAGACCCATAGAGACCCCATAGAGACCCATAGAGACCCATAGAGACCCCATAGAGACCCATAGAGACCCATAGAGACCCATAGAGACCCCATAGAGACCCATAGGGACCCATAGGGACCCATAGAGACCCATAGGGACCCATAGAGACCCATAGAGACCCATAGAGACCCATAGGGACCCATAGAGACCCATAGGGACCCATAGGGACCCATAGAGACCCATAGAGACCCATAGGGACCCATAGGGACCCATAGAGACCCCATAGGGACCCATAGAGACCCATAGAGACCCATAGAGACCCATAGAGACCCCATAGAGACCCCATAGAGACCCATAGAGACCCATAGAGACACATAGGGACCCATAGAGACACATAGAGACCCATAGAGACCCATAGAGACCCCATAGAGACCCATAGAGACACATAGGGACCCATAGAGACACATAGAGACCCATAGAGACCCATAGAGACCCATAGAGACCCATAGGGACCCATAGAGACCCATAGAGACCCCATAGAGGCCCATAGGGACCCATAGAGACCCCATAGAGGCCCATAGAGACCCATAGAGACCCCATAGAGACCCATAGAGACCCATAGAGACCCATAGAGACCCCATAGAGACCCATGGAGACCCCATAGGGACCCATAGAGACCCCATAGGGACCCATAGAGACCCATAGAGACCCATAGAGACCCATAGAGACCCCATAGAGACTCCATAGACCCCCATAGGGCCCCATAGAGCCCGACAGCCCCATAGCCTCTCTCTTCTCTCTGCCCCATAGGCGGCAGCCTCGAGTACATCAACCTCCCCGCGGGCGGTGGTGAGTGACCCCACGTGACACCCCACCACCACGTGACCGCCCCCCCCCACACGTGACCTCTCTGACCCCGCCCCCTTCCCCTCCCCCAACAGCGAGCGAGAGCGAGGACAACGGAGGCGACTACGAGAACTTCTAGGTCACGTGACCCCCATGGCCCCTCCCCCCTCCGTAGCCCCTCCCCATAGCCCCTCCCCCTTCCCCATAGCCCCTCCCCTTTCCCATAGCCCCTCCCCCTTCCCCATAGCCCCTCCCCCTTCCCCATAGCCCCTCCCCCTTCCCCATAGCCCCTCCCCTTTCCCATAGCCCCTCCCCCTTCCCCACAGCCCCTCCCCCTTCCCCATAGCCCCTCCCCCTTCCCCATAGCCCCTCCCCTTTCCCATAGCCCCTCCCCATAGCCCCTCCCCCTCCCCATAGCCCCTCCCATAGCCCCTTCCCCATAGCCCCTCCCCTTCCCCATAGCCCCACCCCTTTCCCATAGCCCCTCCCCCTCCCCATAGCCCCTCCCCTTTCCCATAGCCCCTCCCCCTCCCCATAGCCCCTCCCCATCCCCCATAGCCCCTACCCCTCCCCATAGCCCCTCCCCTTCCCCATAGCCCCTCCCCTTCCCCACAGCCCCTCCCCTTCCCCTTCCCCATAGCCCCTCCCCTTCCCCATAGCCCCTCACCTTCCCCACAGCCCCTCACATTAGACATTGCCGTTCCCCATAGCCCCTCCCCGTCCCCATAGCCCCTCCCCCTCCCCATAGCCCCTCCCCTTCCCCATAGCTCCTCCCCCATAGCCCCTCCCCTTCCCCATAGCCCCTCCCCCTCCCCATAGCCCCTCCCCCTTCCCCACAGCCCCTCCCCCTCCCCATAGCCCCTCCCCCTCCCCATAGCCCCTCCCCTTCCCTATAGCCCCTCCCCCATAGCCCCTCCCCCTTCCCCATAGCCCCTCCCCTTTCCCATAGCCCCTCCCCATAGCCCCCTCCCCATAGCCCCTCCCCATAGCCCCTCCCCCTCCCCATAGCCCCTCCCCCTCCCCATAGCCCCTCCCCTTCCCCATAGCCCCGCCCCCTCTGACCCCCATCTCCCCACAGGTTTCTGGAGCTGCCCCACACCCGGGACCCCCCCTTTATTTATTGTGACCCCCAAGAGAGCTGACGGTGCCTGAGAGACCCCATGGGGACCCATAGGACCCATAGGGACCCCACAGAGACCCATAGAGATTGCCTGGACCCACAGATCCACCCCTACGACCGACGCATCCCCATCATGGGACCCATAGATCCCCACTGGGACCCATAGAGCCCCACTGGGACCCATAGATCCCTCCCCTGCCCCATTGAATAAAGCTGTGCCCCAACTCAGACGCCGCGGGTGGCACTTATGGGGCAGCTGTGGGGCTGGGCTATGGGGCAATGCTATGGGGCTGTGCTAAAGGCAATGCTATGGGGCTGTGCTATGGGGCAAGGATATGGGGCTGTGCTAAGGGCAATGCTATGGGGCAGTGCTATGGGGCAATGCTATGGGGCTGTGCTAAGGGCAATGCTATGGGGCAGTGCTATGGGGCAAGGATATGGGGCAGCGCTATGAGGTAATGCTATGGGGCAGCGCTATGGGGCAATGCTATGGGGCAGCGCTATGAGGTAATGCTATGGGGCTGGGCTATGGGGCAATGCTATGGGGCAGCGCTATGAGGTAATGCTATGGGGCAGCGCTATGGGGCAATGCTATGGGGCTGTGCTATGGGGCAATGCTATGGGGCAGCGCTATGAGGTAATGCTATGGGGCAGTGCTATGGGGCAAGGATATGGGGCAGCGCTATGGGGCAATGCTATGGGGCAGCGCTATGGGGCAATGCTATGGGGCTGTGCTATGGGGCAATGCTATGGGGCAGCGCTATGGGGCAATGCTATGGGGCAGCGCTATGGGGCAGGGCTATGGGGCAGCGCTATGGGGCAGCGCTATGAGGTAATGCTATGGGGCAGCGCTATGGGGCAATGCTATGGGGCAGCGCTATGGGGCAATGCTATGGGGCAGCGCTATGGGGCAATGCTATGGGGCAGCGCTATGGGGCTGCCTCTATCTGTACCACGTGGCTCTTGAGGGGGGTAATTCCCGCCAACCATGCGCGCAGGCCCCGCCCCCTTCCCTCAACAGCCAATCAGCGCCGGCCCCGCCCCCACACACGTGGTTTCCCGCCTTGTCGTTTATTTCCCGCCAATTGGGACACACGGGGGGGGGGGTTGGGGGGGGTCCCCCCCATAGGGCCTGGGGGAGGGGCTCCGATAGGGGTTGGAGGCCTCCATTGCCCCTTTAAGGCCCCATTGCCCCTTTAACCCCCCCATTGCCCCTTTAACCCTCCCATTGCCACTTTAACCCCTCCATTGCCCCTTTAAGGCCCCCATTGCCCCTTTAAGGCCCTCATTGCCCCTTTACGACCCCCCTAGCCCCATTCAGGCCCCCATTGCCACTTTAACCCCCCCATTGCCCCTTTAAGGCCCGCATTGCCCCTTTAAGACCCCCCCATACCCCCATTCACTCCTCCATTGCCCCTTTAACCTCCCCATTGCCCCCCCTCATTGCCCCCATTGCCCCTTTAAGGACCCCCCCCCATTGCCCCTTTAAGGACCCCCCCATTGCCCCTTTAAGGACCCCTCATTGCCCCTTTAAGACCCCCCCATGCCCCCATTCACCCCCCATTGCCCCCTTAACCCCCCCATTGCCCTTTTAAGGCCCCCATTGCCCCTTTAAGGCGCCCCCATTCACCCCCCCATTGCCACTTTAACCCCCCCATTGCCCCTTTAACCCCCCCATTGCCCCTTTAAGACCCCCCCATGCCCCCATTCACCCCCCATTGCCCCCTTAACCCCCCCCATTGCCCCTTTAAGCCCCCCCAGCCCCATTCACCCCCCCATTGCCCCTTTAACCCCCCCATTGCCCCCATTGCCCCTTAACCCCCCCATTGCCCCTTCACCCCCCCCATTGCCC